TCCAATATGGCCCCGGGCCAACCACCCACTCAACTCCAATCATCGATCCTCATGCCCGCACCGACGATCCCGGCCGTCGCGTGCTAACTCCCACCTCTGCGATCGTCACCCCGCCGACGTAAACTCGACGCGGTTCGCCCAGATCCCACAGTCCGTAGTAGCGATCAAGCGCGCAACCGGCCAGCCTATCGTCAGCCCGACAGGATTTTCGGACTCGCACCAAACACTCTGCCTAGCCACTACTTCCCGGAAGCTGGCTTGGGAGTCGAGAACGTAAGAGAGATTTGCGGGCGTGTTTGTGGAATGTATAGTGGCGAGAAGGGGGGCAAGGGAGAGAGAAGGCAGGAGGAAAATCGAAGTGTAAGAAAAAAAGCAGGAGGAGAAGGCTTGGTGAGGAGCACGCTACGGAAACCATGTTGATCCTTCGGGGCTCTGAGCTTCGCCAATCAGATTCGTCGCCCAATAGGCAGATCCTATCGTACCACGCGTCTGATTGGTGGGCGAGAGTAATCGAAGGATCGACCGGGCTTCCGATTCACGGCGAAAGGAAAAAGGGCGCGAGAAGTAGCGCAAGACGGGTCCAAGATTCAGATGATCAAGAAAGTGAAATGAGCGCGCAATCCACCAGAGCGAGAGAGAGAGAGGGAAAACAGTTGCGAGAAGGGAGGATGAGAAGGGGTGGGGGGGGAGGAACGAGCGCGGGAGATAACGATGCAGGAAACCGAGCGGGGGGGGGGAGAGAAGAAAGCTTTTGTATGCATGGTGCCGTCAACGAAAAAAAAAAGAAAAAGGCACCGAAACAGTTACAACTTGCCTATGTCCTAAACCAATTCAAAATTGAAATCACCATATCTGCGCGTGAAAAGGACGACGCGGGAAAAGAAAGTCCTACGCCTATTCGTATCCTTACAAAATTCCGAGAGTTTTCCCCGACGCGGCCGAGAACATTCACACACAAAAAGGACAAGTCGAAGTTCCGCTTATCCCGGAATTCCCAACTGCCGGGCCCAATTCCCAGTGCGCTCGCTAAGGCGCGCTTAAATTCCTATGCATTTCCCGAATTGCAAAAGAAAAAGTAGAACCGAAGAATCACAAAAAGCTCCCGGAAGATGGGGGCCCAAAACGCGGCGCCCGAAATAAAGAAAACAAATGGGGTGCTTGTAGGGTCGGTATGATACAAGAAAAATTCAAACCAAAGGGGTACGAAAGATAGCACGGGTTCGGGAAGTAGTTCGTCACATATGTGACGTGCAGGGGGTTCCAAAATTATGCGATCTCCTGATTGCATGTTACGGCGGAGAAGGAAGGAGGGGGAAGAGTGATGCATGAGGAACCAAGTGTATCAACAGATAATCGAGCCAGAGTTCATGTTGACGCCAACTTCAATTGCAATCTCTTCGTGAGTCTACTGGCTCGTGCTGCTGGAATCGTCGGAGGTCGTCCAGGTGACGCCATCATCGTCCGCTGGTTCTCCGTGTGCTCTGCACCCCAGCTCGTCGCGGCCCGTCGAATCAGAGCGTAGGTTGACGTCATCGTCGATGGCATGATCTTCGTGAAGCTTACTGATTCGTGTCGTTCTTCCCTGTTGATGGGGTGAAGGGAGGAGGGGGGGGGGGGAATAGTCATGCGATTGGGTTTTACCGCCTTGTTGGAATGGGCCAGTAGAGGCGGTACATGGAGGGAAGTCTGCAGGGACAACGGGGAGGGAGTGGGGGTAGGTAGCGATTCAATCCTTCTACTGTCACTGGAAGTTCCTCATAGCGAATGATCCGGTGAAAACGAGGGAAGCGATCACCGCTATGAGGGAGAGAGGCGAGGTAGTCGCGGTAGAGGGAGGAGAGGGTGCGGAAGAGCGCTTCGTGAAAGAAATCGTAGTGGCGACAGGCGGGGATCGTCCCAGTGGCTACGCAGTAGACTTCTACTACGTTGCACTGCTCCCACGCAACGCTCAACAATAGGATATGCAGACAGAATGTGGGGGCAGCGGGCTGAAGGGAGCGGTGGCGGTAGACGGTAGCGATTAGGCGCGTAGAGTAGAAATCACGGAAGAGATGGGGATGGAAGGGGTGGCGGGGGAAGGTGACGGGGGTGTGGATCTGCTCGAGGGTGAGGTAATCAAGGGGACGGTGGGATAATGTCCGGGGACGAAGGCCTATCCCTTGCATCGGTACGTGGACGAACTGGGGGACGGGTGGGGCTGGAGGGGGAGGAGGATCGGCTCCGTCTCCGCCGTGAGGTGCTTGGGGTGGCGGCTGCTGGGTCGCCATCTTCGGGCTTCGGCGGCTCCGGATCCCTGATTGGATCGTCACCGATGCGCAGGCTTGCTCCACTGGCGAACTCCAGCTGGCGTTTTCCGGTGGTAATCTCTTCCCGTTTTCGCGCTGCCTCAGGATCTTCCGCCTCCGTGCCGGTACGCGTTGCTTCCTCCGGCAAGGCTTCCCACTCAGACCCAATTTTTTCTTCCTCTTGTTCTTGTTCTTCTTCTTCGCTCTGCTCGCCATCGCTATACTCGCTATAGCTTCCCTCTTCCGATGTATCCTCGTCGTCGTCACTTTCCTCCCCTTCTATCACCATTTCTTCTGCCTTCGGATAGAAAGTGTGATCGATGATGCCGTATGGCTTCAGATACTCCTGCTGCGACAGTAGAGAGTCTTCGTCCCAAGGCTCTTCCAAGCATGCACTCCACTGAAGATACGGATCCAACGTTCGCGTGAGTACGTGCGGAGCGGGGCTGTCGTCGCTTTGTGAAACGATGTCAGGAGAGAGATCGTCCGCCAGTTGCACGATCGGCGCGATGAGTTCTTGAGCGATTAGCTGGCGATGTCCCGACCACACCGATCCGAAGAGAAAACCGAGGAGATCACCCTCCACGTTAGTCCTCCAAGCTTGTATGATCAGCAATTCCATATTTTCGAGCCACGCGGGATGCTCGCTGGTCCGCGTCCACGTCACCTGTACTCGAGCCAAACACATGGACAGTTCGACAAAGGTCTCGCGCCAAAGTCGCCAATGCCCGGGATTAAGAAGCGGGACGAAAAGGGGTTCGATCGAGAGGGAAAGATGAGGATGAAGATCGGACTGCCAGAAGGTAGGGAAAAGAGAGGGGAGACCGAAGATGGAGAGAGGAGCGAGGGGGGCGGTGCGGTTCACTGGGGGCGTGGGAAAGCAGCGAGGGTGGGATCACAACCGCTGGCTCGCGCGGAGAGAGGCGGAACCCGTCAAGATCAGGTGCAAAGGTTAGGATGAGATTGTGCCCTGGTCGGGCAAGACCATGCTGCCACATGTTGGACACCTGCTCCGTCCACTCTCGCAGCGAGGTCAAGATCGCGGTATGCCACAGTGGATTGACCGTACTGATGTCGCCGCTGAAAGCCGCGACCGTGGTGACGTGGCTCGTTCCGGAAGCCGCCCGCCGATGTACCACTACCACCTCCGCCAATACTATTGCCTGCCGACTCCCTTCGATTCGAAACGCGGCGGCTGCATACACACCCACGTCGCAGAAGAACTGCGCCAGACGCCGAAGATCCGTACTAAGCCGTGGATGACGAACTTGCTGAATTTTCGAGATGTGGCCACGTGGCTGCAACAGTTGATCATCGAAAGCCCGCTCCGTGATGAAGCTCATGGCGAGGACGGAGAGGAAGACGAAGGGCAGGAGGGGGAGAGCGGAGAGAGAGTTAGATCGTCGTCATTCTTCTCGCCTTCGGAGGAGGAAGAAGGGGGAAGATCAGAGGGAGGGAGAGGTCGGAGGTAGAAGGTATGTCGGACGATAAGGACAGAGCTATGGCTGGCACTAGCCTCGGGCGTGATGCGCACCGTGTTGGCGCCGTTGGGTCTGAGCTCGACTACGCGACAACAACCAGAAAACTTGGGAGCGAGTTTTCGGTCGCGTGCACATTTACGTACCTGCACTAGGTCCCCTAATTTATATTGATGCTGGGGCCCAGCATTTCCATTTCGAGCCTCATAGCTACGGACCTGCCTACCGTGGGCCAGATCGGTCATCCTCTGTCTTTTTCGGGCTAGCTTCGGGACGGCCCGTTCCATTAAATCGGTATACCTTTTGGCCTTGGCCTTGAGGGCGGCACGGGTGTCTCTGCCCTCTGCTTTGGCAATTTCCGAGTTACCCGGGTAGTCGACACAGGGGAGGCTATTAGTGCGAAGCTGAAAGGGGGTGAACCTCGTGGACTCATGAGGGGTGGCCCCGTGAATTCGGACGATCTGATACACGATCTCGGGCCACGAACGCGTGTCATGTGCTGCTAAATTCCTGCGAAGGGCGGTTTTAATCATACGGTTGGCATTTTCGGCCAACCCGTTCGACTGAGACGCATGGGGTGCCGTATGTCGGAGCTTGATGCCCCTTCGCGCGAGCAGTTCCTCTACTTCGCCTTTGAATTCGGACCCATTGTCGGTCAAAATTTCTTCCGTATCTAGATGGGTATAGAGGAACCGATCAATGTATGTGGCTATTTCTGCGGCCTTGCGAGTCTTGCAGGGGTAGACCTCGATGTATTTGGAAAAATGATCTATTAATACTAAAAGGATAGAATATTCACAGCGGTTTGGGCCAGGTGGCACGTCAATATCTGTCGTGTCCATACTGACTCGCTGGAAGGGGCGTTCTACTTCCGTTGGTACTATCGTGTTTGGTCCCCGTATTTGGGCATGATCAGCGGCACAGACCAGACAGTTGGTGACAACGTATCTGACATCATCTCGTATATAGTTGCCTCCGTGACACGTATCATGAAATGAGCGGCCTGCTCTTCGTGAGCAGATCGGGTCCAATCATATCTCTGGAATGGATGAGGAACTGTCAACCACGAACCCGATCCGTCAGTTTTACGCTTCTCCAAATGACCGTTGATCCATCGATAGTCCCGAGATCTCTCGGTAGCCCTATGTCTGTCGTGCTTGGTGAGGTGACCCAAGGATAATCCCGCTAATTTAGCTGATAAAATTTTATCCGTCCAAACCTCCGCTCGACGGTATTTCTCGTCATATTCAGGTCCGTCCGTTCGGGCGGCCTCGAATCGAACCTCTGTGGGAAGTTTGGTCGTTCTGCACAGGGGGCATCTCCATTCCTTGCTACTCATCCGATAGCGAACACAGGCCGCGTGCGCACGATTGACACACGTGGCACATTCTACCCAATCGACAAACCCGATTTCGAAAGGATGACAGTTAACCCCATAAACCCGTGCAATACATGTACAAAAATAACAGAATTTATCGGGGAAGGTGGCAAAGAAAGCGGAGGAGGTCAGAGGGGCAGAATTAGTAGGAGAAGAGGGGGTCGCAAAGACGGGTGGGGTAGTCATGATGGCAGAGAGGGAGAGATGGGACTGAATTGCAGAGTGGGAAGAACAAAAAATGGACCCCGTGTCACTTACTCCTTTGATAGGATCTCCACTTGGCCGTACCGAGGTCCGTTTTCCTTCTTCGGTTCGTTCCACGGAATCACCTCCTCATTTTTTGGAACCTTCTCAGGTCGGTGCAGTCGTGTCAACCCGTCCGCATTCCCGTGCCTTTCGTGTTTTCGGTGACGAATGTCAAAGTCCATGCTCTGCAGCACCGTTGCCCATCGCCCAACCATGCCCGAGTAATCCTTAGATTTCTTCAGGGCTAGCAGAGGCTCATGATCGGTTACCAATGTGAACTTCCGCCCGTACAAGTAAGCTCGAAAGTGACTAATTCCCCAAAGAGCTGCGTAGCATTCTCCTGTTGGAGCGACGTAGTTACGCTTGCAGGCGGGCACCGATTTGGACGCATACTCCACCACGTTCTCAAGTCCGCTTGGTCCTACCTGGGCCAAAATCGCCGAAATTGCCTGTTGCTGCCAGTCAGTAATGAGGACAAAAGGTTTTTCGGGATCCGGCTTTATAAGGACCGGGGCCAAAATGAGGGCGGCCTTGAGTTTCAAAAACGCTTGATCACACTCCGGCGTCCAGATCAACGGCTGGTCCTTTCGTAGCAGATTCGTGAGGGGTCCCGTAATCGCCGCAAAGCCCTTGATAAACCTTCGGTAGTACGAGGCCAGACCCAGAAAGGCGCGAACCTGCGTAATAGTCGTAGGCACCAGCGCATTTCTGACAGCTGCCACCTTCTGCGGCTCCGGTCTAAGTCCTTGGTCTGTTACCACGTGTCCTAGGAAGGAAATGGTGGTAAGGAAAAACTGACACTTCTCGAATGCCACCTTGAAACCAGCATCTCGTAACGCATGCAACGTCCATTCGATATGTTGCACGTGTCCTTCGTAGGAACTTGAATACACCAAAATGTCATCCATGTACACAATCACGCAGTAGTTAATGATACTCTGCGCCAGACGAGTCTTCTGTACGAAGTTATGAAAGGCCATGTTCATGGCTCGCTGGAAAGTTGCGGGAGCATTGCAGATGCCCATCGGACATCGAATCCACTGCCACGTACCTTCGAAGAGTACGAACGCAGTCTTCGGGCGATCTTCTTCTCGAACAAGAAGATAATGGAACCCATGGCGAACATCAAACTTGCTGAAAAATCGAGCACTCCCAATCGCATCCAACAACTCGTCAATCCGGGGGAGAGGGTACACATCCTTGATCATGATATCATTCAACTTTCGATAATCGATGCAAATGCGAATTCCTCCGGCCTTTTTAGGCACAATCACTACGAGAAAAGACCATGATCCTATAGCGGGTTCGATCCATCCATGAGCTTCAAATTCTTTGATCTGCTGAAAAGAGGCCGCTCTTTGAGCAGGTGAGTACCTATAAGGAATGCAGCTAATGGGTGGATGATCCCCCGTGAGAATGACATGTTCAATCACGTTAGTTAGGCCGATATCGTTATCGCGCACACTCAATACTTCCACATAGCCCTTCGAAATATTAATTAGCGACTTTTGGAGTTCAATGGGGACGTGGTTTGGGAGGGAGGTTGTCGGTCGTCCAGGGATCTGAAGAGATATGTCGACCCAATCAGCCGACCTTTCCCGTCGCTCATGGACATTGGAAAAAACGGAACTACTGGTGCGAACAGAGAAGACAGTCGCAATCATCTGTGATTCAGCCGGGCTGATCATTTCGGTTTCCTTAGCTTCGGCATCAGTCTCTGAACCGGCCGATGTTTTTTCCACAGTTAGTCCTGTTAGATCCGCCATGTCCTGCATCAGATCGGGTACGTTGCCTACCGGTGCTTCGGCCTCTTGTTTAATCAAAGCGATGGTCGCTCCCATTGTTAGCAAAGGTCTTGGTGGAAAAACAGAAACATCCACTTATTGTTCTGTCTGTTGGTAGCGTGCTCGTAAGGAAAGCGCTCCCTCGTACAAGGTGCGAGGGGGTTCCAAATCATCTGCTAGGTCAGATACTTGCAGGATGGGTTCCCCGAGGAGGGTTGAAGGACTGATCCGGGTTTCCAGAGGCGCGAGCGTGCTGTCTTCCAAACCCACGTGGAAGCTTCGGGCGGTTCTGGGGCAAACTCGAAACTCTTCGGGGATTTCGTGCTCGAAAAGTTCGACCAGGTGCTTTCATTCATCCTCACTAGGCATTTCTTCTTCGTACACCTGTTCCCCGATTCCGCTACTGATGTCCGAGGAAGAAGGTTCCTCAGGATCGAGGCCTTGAATCATCCCTACTTGGACAGAGTTAGGAGTTCGTTTTACCGTCCGGGTGGAAATCCGCAAAGGGACAGTAGACGAGCACCTACCGCCATCGCCCAAGGTAATCCTAACAACACAGAGTAGGAGCGCATATCTATTACTAGTGCGTTAACAAGGACGTGTACTCGTCTGACATTCACAGCCACATTCTCAATAATACCTACGATGTTCATTGCTTCCTCGTCGGCAGAGACATAATTGTCTTTGCCAGATTGAGGAAGAATGGATCCGAGTCGTCCTGTCTTTCTTACTGTGTCTAAGGATATGGCCACTGCGGAAGACCAATTGTCGATAAGGGCGTTAAACGGTTTGCCCCAAACTTCACAATCACACTCAGCGCTTTTCCACAACACTGGTCGAGCTCGTACAAAGTGATCCTTCTCCACCAACGGAATCGCAGCTACTCGTGCTGCTTCGGGGTCACCTGTTTCAGGTTCAGGTGGTGCAACCTCCTCGCCTCCTTCCTTATTCTTCAACATTCGCTGTACTTGCTGGTACGTGAAGCGCTTTTGATTTTTCTGGCAATGTTGTAGGAGTTTATCGTTTGCAGCTTCGGAGATGGTGAGCAAATGCCCCACCAAGATCGAAACACGGATATCCAACTGCTTAAGCGCTCGTAATACATCAATTTCTCCCGTCCGAAACTGTGGACCGGGATTGGATTCGCGATCGACCCATTCAAGATCCGCATGGGCCGATCGAATCGCTCCGACCATGCCGGCGGGATGAAGGTACTCGAGTGGATCGACCACGTCAGCAGCGTCGGAGGAGGAAGAAGCTCCCGAGGTTGAAGCAACTGCCGTTGAGGGGGAGGGTTGCTCATATGCAACACGTTCCCCTCCTTGGGCCGTGTCCATCAGTGCGTCCACTCGTCCTTGGTTCAGAGCTACAGGGGCCGCGGCTGGTGGAGGTTGATTACGTTTCGGTTGCGGACAGTCCCGGGCAAAATGTCCGGGCTGTTTGCAGTTAAAACACTCGACCTTTCCTGCTGGATTAGCTGGGTGAGGGAACTGTGGGGCGTACCCAGGTGTAGGCGAGGCAGGAAAGAGGGGAAATGACGCAGGGGCAGGCCGAGCAGGGGCCGAGTTGGGCTTAATTAGCCTGCTCATTATCTGTTTCATCCGCTCTATATGAGCTGCCTGCATTTGAACCAGGTTGCTCATCCATTCAGATTGCTTGGTGGTGGCCGTATGGATCATTTGTGCAAGATGTAAGTTTGTTACGGCCTGAGAGGGAGAAACGTTGGGGATTCTGCTTTTAACTGCCGCTACCTGTGGATTCGTTGGAGGCAAAGACGACGAAGCTAACGAGATATCAGAGGCGGTCCCGTCGGGGAGGTCATGGGGATAAAACCGTTCTACCGTCCGTAACCACGATCGTCTTTTAGCTGCTACATCCTGTATCGTATCTGTGATGTCTTCGTCTCCCTAACTGATATATTTCTTTGTATCGGCCAGGTCTAACTCGAGGGCTTTAGCGATGATAGCCGACAACTGGTGAGTTTTCGGGGGAACCTTTTTCTGTAACTTCCCTTTCAACGTCGGACTTCGTAGATGATCGACGAACAAATCTTGAGCGGATTTCTCATATCACCCAGATTTATCCAACGTGGTTTGAAATCGATCCACGAAATCAGGCAGCAATTCCCCTGGTACTTGCGGACGATTTTTGAGTACGTACCAGGCAGCATCTTCACTGACCGTATCGAATCGGGCCAAGAACGCTTGTTTGAAAGTATTCCAATCTACCCACGTGTGCTTTCTGAACCAGTCATGCGACGTATTGCGAAGTAGCAAGGTAAGAACGCGGGGAAGATCACCCGCGCTGTATCCTTGAGCTTCGACGGCTTCCAACCAAGCTTCGGGGTGGGTATGGTTAGGGAAGAAGGGGAAGGGGGCAGGAATGCTAACGATCACCCTATTACCGTCTGCAATTGGTATGGCGGGTACAACCGCACCAGATCGAGACCTTGTCACTAGGCGGTCTCTTCGAGCTGGTTGAGGGCTTCTTCTACCTCTCGCCAATTCGAATTACTGTCATCAGAACCGATACGTGTCGGCTCTGATACCAACCTCACGCCATGTGCTGCCTTTCGTTCGGAGTGCTAGAGGTGCGGAAAAGGGGCCCCGAAAAACAGCAAGATGGGGTGTACCAAGGATTTTTGGAAATTGAGTGTGGGGACACAGACGGAACTGAAATCCCCCGTGTTGGTCCGATGAAGTAAGTCGACCGTTTTTTGCACGTCG